CTGTTATTTCTCAAATCTCTCCAGTGTACTAACTTGGTTCTCTCAGGATAGTTTGCCTGGCAAGGGCTTTTAGTTCCAGGCAGTGAAGCACAGAATGACGCTTTTATATTTGCTGTCTTGGACAGCACACAGGACAGCCAGGTTGTATCTGTGTTACTGGTAGGTACGTGCTCCAGAATCCACTTTAGGACAAGGCTGAGGCTCATCCCCCACCTCTTTCTTGCCCTGCTTCCAGAGGGAATTGGAAGTGCGAATCAGAAAGAAGCTGCAGGGTGCTGCAGTAGTTCTCACTGTCCTTTTCCAAGATTAGAACATATCTGCTGGGTATGACATGATGCATTACCTGTCTTAGAATATAAGTAAATACAGGTGCAGACAGAAAGGACTGGAAAGCACTTCTGCTGTACTGTGCTTTTAAAAACCTAAGACACATGCACATAGAACACAGAACCAGAGATGACATCTCACATGAAACTTCAGCATGTGCTGAACTTACATTGACTGAGAGTTTGTCAGCATATTAGATGTACACCACCAATTAGAAAAATAGAGTGAACTGATTTAAGACAGATATTCACTTAAAAGCTATAGAAATATTAATATTGTAAGTAAATTAAAATTTGAATAAGTCAGAAACTTCATTCTGATTCCTTATAAGACAGCCCTACCTTACAAGCAAGAAAAGAGAAATGAGGTCAGGATTCTTTACTTTCAGTACTTGGTAACTTCTATTTAGCCATTTTACAAAAATATGTTTTAGGATGACAAACCAGGGTGTGTGATAGTGGAAGAATCATTGATGCCATTCTTACCCTCTCATGTATACACACACATCTGAACACGTAACTGCTTTATTGTGTTGGAATTGTATTTCCTATTTGGTCTGTAAATAAAACTGTCAACAATTTTAAAAACTACTTTTCCCCACAGCTGTAACATAAATAGATTATCTCAGATCTGAGAAATATGAATGCACTGTTCTGATGGCTGTAATTTGTACATTAACTACGCTTTTGCACAACTGCTGAAAAAGGGATTCCTTGTATCACATCCAAATGTTGATACATATATATGTATATATTAATAATTCTCTTGGTCTTGACTCTTGTCTCCATTTTACTGTATGCTGACTTATCAGTGCATGGTTGGGTGGCAACTGTTGAATCATATTGTATGGTCTCAATCTAAAGTGACTCTTAGTTATGTTATTTGAATTCCTGGTATTAAAAGCTATGACTGTAATCTCAGTCAGTGTAAGAACTAGAAGTAATTCCCATCAATGAAATACTGGAAAGCAAAATTTTACATACTATTGGAACATAAGCAGATTTCTCTTGAAGTTTGTTTTAAAATTCAGAGACTAACTCCAGTTCAAGTAGAAAGGTCTTGTAATTAAGCTATGACAGATATATCAGATAGAAAAAGGTCACGGGGAATCTATACAAATAACAGATGAAATTCTGGCCCAAACCTATGGGTGAAATAAAAAGTACAAAATTTTCACTAAATTAAGCCACAATTTCAAAATTCCATTCTCCCAAAGCAAATGGAACTCTTCCAGGATATTATGAACTATGAAATGCTTAAGTCTCTTTTCCTGTGCATATATAAAAATACACATTATCTATTTATATCTAAATATATTCTATTAATCTCTCTACCACTAGGTGTCTGTGCACAGACTACAGAATTTGTTCTGGAAACAACAGATGTGGATAAATTTTAATCCATTTGTTGATTCTTAGTTGAAGATCTGTAGGACCACAGATTGAAATTTTCATGTTTTTGTTAATACGAAATAAGCCAACAAGGGATATAACCACAGACTAGAAGAAAATATCAAGATCTTCTTGCATGCACAAAAGTTGTTAAGCCATTTACTGTAATCCAGCAGTTTTGCTTCTCTAGGATCAACTGTCCCATGGCATCTTCTTCCACATTATCCAATGCGATTCTATCAAAATACAGCTCTGCTCTGAGATGTGCCCTCCACATGCTAGTTCCTTCAACAGATACACGGTTGAGCTTTCTAAAATCAAAAGGGCAACTCTGAGAAGTGTGGGGCACCAGTGCTGGTCCTGGTAGTGACAACAGATGCTGATGTAAAACCTCTGTAACATAATGGATGCTGTGGTTTCTGTGATATTTCTGCCTTTTCATCTTCCTGCCTGTAGGTTTTGGGATCTTCTTCTTGAAGGAGGAACAGCAGGTGATTCTCAGAGCCTACTAAATAAGGTCAGTTGAAATTCCAGTGCTCAGTGTCTGCAGTTGCTGAGAGCATTCAGTTCACAGAATCCTGAATGCAATGTTCAGTTTAGGTGCAGTAATTAAGTTTTATAATTCGGTACTGCCATCTCACAGTGATGAAAGATGAGCAAGGCAGTCCTTTCTCAAAATAATGACTGTTTAATGTTTATGTATCTTTTGTATACTTATTTGTAAAATTATTTTTATGTGCCCTTTGGGGATTTATTGATCTTTTTATGATTACTTCGATTGGTGTTTTCTAGATTTTTCTCCACATTTACACTGATTAAAAAATTGGAAGACAAATCATAGAATCATACAATGGCCTGGGTTGAGAAGAACCACAATGATCATCTAGTTTCAATGACCCTGATATGTGCAGGGTCGTCAACCACCAGAGCAGGCTGCCCAGAGCCACATCCAGCCTGGCTAAATGTTGAGATTCTGTTAAAATTAATGATCCCAGAAAATTAACTTTAAAGAAAAGCTTAAAATCTTAATCCAAGAGAAGCATGAGAGTTGACAGAAGTGAAAGTTTTGTATGTGAAGAAAATACATTTTCATTTATTAACATACTTGGTGCAGTATTGTATACTGATCATCAGCATTCAAACCTCTTTTGGTTACATGTTTTGTAGGCACTAAGTGCACCAATAAATTCCTGCTTTTAATTTAACAGTTTCTCTAATCTATAAGAATACAATTAATCATCATTATCGATATTCTAAATTCTCAAATCTGTGAAAAATCTTTATACTTAGGAAGTCAACTTTAGGAACAGACAGGAGTAAAAGAAAGCTTTTGCATTCTTTGTTTGTGCTAGTGACAAGGAAAAAGCTGATGACAAGTACAGCTGAAGTAACCACTTCACCAAGATACAACCAAAATATTCAGTAAGCACATTTATATGTATACACACACACATTTCTCTTGCAGTGTTTTTCTAGTGACTGACTAATGAAGACAAATGGCATTGGAAATTTTCTGATGTGTGATGAAGTTACTTTGAAAGTGGCCTTAGGAAAAAAAAAATCTCAACAAGGACTGATGCATAAATCACAATTACACATGCAAGTAGACTGATTACACCTGGCACAACTGAATGAGAAATTACACGGAAAAGGTCTTTTAAAACCTGCAACTACCAAGTCTGCCCCCAGGCTAGCCTGAGAGTCCTTTCATTTCAGCACACCATCACTCTGCTACTAACTGCCATTCATTTGGAAGATAATGTAAAATTACAATTAAATGCTCATTTAGATGTGCAGTTGCTCATTTTTACACGTGCAGTATGGAAACCATTTTTCATTAGTGCTTTATGCTTTCCTGAACTGTATCTAGTGAAAAGAGTAAATGTGATTGTACATCTCTCAAATCTTTATACTTCAGGAGTACAAAAAAGTACGTTAAAAAAATAATAAAAAAAAACCTATTAGTTCATCAAATAGAGATTTTTTTTGTTGTTTTTCATTTAGATTTTTGCTCATACATGAGTAAAAGCTGCGATATTTCTATTTTGCTATATATAATTCTTGACTAAGGATAAAATATATAATCCTTAACTAAGGATTATATATTGGTTGTTCAAGTTATTTGTATCACATATTTGAGAGATCACTGGCCTATCAACACATAATGCAAGAACATAAATAACATCAAATGAAGCAGAAATTTCTGCAAGAATGAAACCAGCACCAGAGAAACTGGTAGGCAGCTGATAAAGTGGACAAAGCAACTTATGTTTCCACTTACCACAGTCAGAAGCAGGATTCTCTCTAAGCGAAGTACGTGGTGGCTTAAGCCAGCAGGTTGCTGGGCTCTGTGAAATGGCTGTGGTCCAGTGCTCCCTCTGCCTGCGCCAGAATGCTGAAAAGCTGGCCTCACTGCTACTGCTGGCATTGCCAAGTCAGGGTGGCAGCGTGCAAGGTGATAACTATTCCTGCTGGGATGATCAGTGCCTCAAAAAAACAGCCATTACCAGCACTAATATTTCCATCTTCCCAGCAGTACCAGACGCAACAAGCTGGCAAATTATCTGGCACACTCAATTTCTCTCCTCTTCGGACCCCATTTCTGCCCCATCCTTTTATCCTTCCTTTGTGTATTAACAGCAGCAGCAGCCCAGCCCACAGCCTTTGTGAAATATACCAGCATGGCTTCTACTGTTTAATCCATCCTCAGCATATCTAAACCTACAAAAATACTAGAATAACATGCGAAACTACATCACTGTACATAATGTCATTTTGATATGTAAACCACAAGAAAAGCTGTGTTGATCATACGGAAGCATTCTGCAGCACCTGACCCCATCTCTGAAGGTGTTCAAGGTCAGGTTGGATGGGGTCCTGAGCCGCCTGGTCTAGTATTAAATGAGGAGGTTGGTGGCCCTGCCTGTGGCAGGGAGTTGGAGATTCGTGATCCTTGAGGTCCCTTCCAACCCTGGCCATTCTGTGATTCTGTAATTCTGTGACACAGTTCTTTCAAAACTGCAACAGCCCTGTGGGGAAAAAAAAAAAAAAAAAAAAAAAAAAAAAAAAAAAAGCAGCTTTGTCTTGGCTGCCCCACTGACTTTTCTGTCAGGAACTGTTCTGCAGTAGCAGCAGACATGTAACATTTATGCGCGCTTACATATTAATAATTAATAAATAGCACTGGTTTAGCTAAAGGATAAGGTTGATCTGGATAGGGAAGTAACTGTTTTACATTATAATCCTCAGAGAACAGATGACACGGGCCAGAAGAAACATGATGCGATATAAAGTAATGATACACTTGGGAGAGATGACTCCAAACCATACTTCAAATGGCAGGAAGCAGGTTAGCAGGTTTGAAGAGGTACTACACCCATTCAAGAACGTGATGGTGCACTGTATAGCAGGAATCTAACTGGAAAGTGTTGTGTTAGGGAAAAAAATGCTACGGGAACATGAGACCTGTATCTATTAGCCTCCATTTCAGGGACAGTATCGTACTTTGCTCATCTGACTTGAGGCAAACAATTCAGAGGTGGCAGTGAAGAAAAAAGTAGTGAAGAAAAAAGTAGTAGCCAAAAGTATGGTTGGTGGAGCAAAAAAAAAAAAAGTCTTTATAGGTGAAAATTAGTATCGCAAATCTTAACGTTAGTAATAAAATTCCTTATCGAGGTATTTGCTGTTTATGTAATCAAGCTGTATGATTTTGCATACCTGTTTTGAACCTCTGGAGTCAGAGGAAGCGTCAGGAAATTTATGTACTAAAATAATTAAAAGATTTAAGAAGTTAAGGATTTTTCATTAATGTTGTGAATTTAAATAACTAAGGTGACAACCTGGAATCTAAGGAACTAACATCAGCAAATTCTGATCTGCCTCCTCGGGAGTTAGCAGAGCCGATGCTATGCTGATGCCATGCTGCAAGGGCAACACGTTTGAACTCCAAAGCAGGACGCGGCCACGTGTGGGCAGCTGGCGCCCGTTCCCTGGTGTGACACACGGTGCGGTTGGGCTGCTTTTCAGTTTCCAGTGTGTGTTCTCTCGGGCCTGCGGGTTTTCTTCTTCATTGAGGTGGCTGCACCTGGGGAGGCCGTAGGGCTGTGTACCAAAGTCACTCCCTTTCTCCTTATTTCTGCGGTAAGGCCCCAAGGCAACATGGCTGCGCTGTAGAGGACGGCTATCTCGGGGCGCAGTCCCGCCGGGAGCGGCGCGGGCAGGCGGGCGCACAGTGACCGTTCAACGGCTGCAGCGAGGGCCCGGCTGGGGGCGGGCGGGGCTCGGGCGGCCGACCGGGGAGGCGGTTGAAGGTGGTGGGCAGCGGGAACCTGATGGCCCACAGGGGGTCGGGGGGAGGTGGTGAGCGGCGGGGACGGGTGGGAGCCGCGGAGCCGGGTTGTGGGCTGTGCGAGGAGAAAGCCTGGGCTGCGGCAGGTGCCCTGGAGTAACGCTCCCTCATGGAGGCGGTGCTGCCAGGGCCAGCCTTGCTCTGCTTTTCTTGGTATTGCAAGGATAGAATAGTGTGAGAATGCAAAAGGTTAGGCTGGGTGACTTGTGGAGATCTTGTGTAGCTTCATCCTTGTGCCTGCTGGGCTTAAAAAGGACGAAGTTGAGCTATCTTAGCACCAACACTGATCTTGCCCCTTTCCAGATTGCCCTCTCTTAGCTTCCTTATTTGTGACTGTGTGGTTCTGTGGGCACCCTTGGAAATTTGGGGGCAAGAAGGAGAATGGGATGTTTGTCATTGCTACGTGATCTTGTCTTGCTCTACAGGAGAATGCTTTCTAAAAATGGTTGCTTCATTCTAGAATCTACCAGCACTCATGCCATTTATCATCAGGATACACGGGGAAACTGGGGTTTTCTTTTTCCACCTTCTGATGCAGCAGATATCAAAGAAAAGGGGAAATGGTTTTAAGTTGAGGGAGGGGAGATTTAGGTTGGATGTCAGGGGGAAGTTCTTTACAGTGAGAGCGGTGAGGTGCTGGAACAGGCTGCCCAGAGAGGTTGTGGATGCCCCATCCCTGGAGGTGTTCAAGGCCAGATTGGATGGGGCCCTGGGCATCTGGGGCTGGTATTAAATGTGGAAGTTGGTGGCCCTGCCTGTGGCAGGGGGTTGGAGATTCATGATCTTTGCAGTCCCTTCCAACCCTGACCATTCTGTGATTCTCTGATATCAGTCATGCATTGCTTTGTGTGCGTATTTAGTATCTAGTAGATAGCCTTAAGTAAGCATTCTTAATTTGGATAAAATGAAATTTAATCTTCCAAGTCAGCAGTCTCAGTTCATTCTGCAGGAGTTTTCATTGCTGTTTTTGTCTACAACTTCTCAGCCTTATCTTTTCTTGAGTTGAGAAGGTTGTAACACAGGGGAATTCTTAGTTTCGTTAATATCTGTAGTTTCAATGGACTTGATAGTTTCCTGTGAATTTATTTGCTTATTTATCCTGCTGCTTTTTTTTTTTTTTAAAGCGTGGCACTTCAAAATGCTGAAGGGAGCTCAGCAGTTCGTTGGCAAATCCCTCCAACCAGCATTACCTGCGTCCCATTTGCCTTCTAAACAAGGTGAGTAGCTTGCTAAGCCGAAACGTCAGCTTCTTTTAAAGAGACAGGAAGGGTATGTACGGTTTATTAGAGTTTCAAAGTTAATTTATTCAAACTACAGAGATGTATAGCTGTGCATTGGTCTTTCTATATCATCTCTGTGATGAAATCTTAATTTAAAGTACATCAGGTTTTCTGGTTTTGTATCTGTAAATCTGGCAAACTGTAGGAAACCAGATCAGGCCTTAAATTTGGACTCTTGGGTTAGTTGACTATTTCTGTTGAAAACATTAAAAGCGTGTAATTTAACAAACAGATTATTGTTCAGTTTTACTGTATTGTTATCAAGCCTTCATACAAGTTAGTGGAAAAAACAAATTAAAAATTCACCAAATGCAATATTTGTATCAGGTGTATGTATTATTTGTTTGTTGGTTTGTTTTTTAAACCTGTTTATGCATTCTGGGTATTACATTACTGAAGCTATTAATAAGTTGGAAATCTGTAGTGGCCGGAGAAACAATGCCAGCATCACCAATGCAGAAAGAAACTGAGTAATTTTTCATATTGTGTTAAAATTCATGGTAGAAGTGGAAAATTGGTCCTGTGGTGAGTTAGAGCTTTTAGTGTGTGAATAAATGAATTCCTGTATAATCTCTTTGTAGTTGAATTTCAGTAATGCCCTGAAGGCAAGTATCACAAAATCGCAGGTTACATTTACAGTACTTTTATTGTAATGTTTTCTCTTATCTTTGCCAGCATCAGAAGTTGCTTTCAACTTTCAGACTGAATTACCTAGCAATGCTCAAGTATGTTTGCAGAGTAAGGTTGACTGGGTGAGTACTGAGTAAATACTGACTGACAAAGCTGATGAAGGTGCATGTTACAGCATGCCATGAAATAAAGTTGAGTGGAACCTTTGTGTTTCTCAGTGAAAAGTGGTATTTCTAGCAAATGCTGTCCTTGGGGTTGGACTCGATGATCTCTGGAGGTCCCTTCCAACCCCTACAATTCTGTGATTCTGTGATTCTGTGATTCTGTGATCCCATTGAGATATTTACCATATTAAAGCATTAAATCTGGGTGTTTGACACTAGAAGTGTCAAAAAGAAGTGTGAGATTCCAACCAGATGTATAATAATGGAGGCATTTTGTTAGCAGTGCTTCCACTTGCAGAGAGGAAGAAAATCAAGCTATGATAGGTTCCGCACTATTCTCAAGTCAATTTTTGAGCAGCTAGGTAGCAGTGAACAACCTGATTTAAATGATTTAATTTAATGATTTAATGATAATTAATTAGATGTTTTAAAGAATTAAAAATTAACTAATTAAAAAAATTAGTTGAGATGTGTAGCCTGTGGAAAGTGTTCAGGTTTTCATGAGGTAGTACTGAAGCTTGAGCTTTCTCTACAGCTGCTACTGGCAAAAAATCCTAGCTGTGAAATTATGTTTTCCTTTGTTACAGGCAAAATGATGTTCAGGGAGTGTAAGTGCCTGAGAATCCAGATAGAGCTTCTCCTGGATTTTGCACTGTGAATAATTTAAAGCCAAGTATTCTTTTTATTCCTTCCTGATATACAAAGCAGTTTTGAAAGAAAAGATACAGAGAGTGCTGAGTTCACTGCATCACCTAATATGGAAGGAAAGGCTTGACAAGGCTCTGACAGTTTTAACTTGCAACTTAAGTGTAATGTGAAAATGAACTTTAGAGTTTTGAAAATACATGCAGTGATGTAGGCCTGTTCTTTATAGATTAATTCCATTCTCTTAGATGCATTTCACATGCGAGCATGTAAAAGACTGTTTTTGCATGTGGTGATTCTCCACTATTTAGGTCTTGAATTGAAAACCACACATACCATAAATTGTGATATTAGAAAGCGGTTGGCAGAGTGCAGTGATGCCAGTGGTGCAGGAAGAAATGTTGTGGTGACAAAGTCTCACACATCACTATAAATTGCTGTGGCTTTTGGGGGTTTCTTTTATCTTGGGTTTTAAAAAGAGGTGCATTCCAAAACTTCCAGTCCTTCCTGTTTCCTCAGTTCTCGCCTGCCTTCCCCATCTGCCTCAGAATGAGATTAAAATTCCTTGGCCAGTACTGTGATGACAGTCTCACACATTACTATAAATTGCTGTGGCCTTGAGAGTGTTTTAATACACCTTCCTTTGCTGTACTTTGAAGGCGCTTCTTAATAGCTCAGATTTGCCACGACTGCTCAGAAATCAGAAAGTGGCAGTTAGAAATAGCAGCATGATTCGCTGGAAACTTAATCCTTCTAAATCCCTAGATCTTTCAGATTTTATTCCCTGTGGAAAAGGTAACTGGTCAACCACAGAAAGTGGAAGTATGAGCAGGGTAATGCTAAAATATTTTACCATTTTGTAATTCTTATCTGTGACTGCAATGTGCTTAGCACCCCCTGAAAACTAGTAGTGCAGTTAAAATACTGAGTGTTGGCTGCTATCTTTTTCAAAAATAATAAATAGCTCCTGCTTTTTACACATGTAGGTATTTGAGAAAAAAAAATGACTTTTTTTTTTTTTTTTTTTTTTGAGGGGGTTGGGAGATCTGTTTTAAGATGAACAATCAATGCAGAGAAGTTTAAGACGTAGTGGTGTACGTGATGGTTTTTTGTGATTTCTTTTATCTTGGGTTTCGAAAAGAAGTGCTTTGCAAAACTTCCAGTCCTTCCTAGTTCCTCAGTTCCTTGGCCAAACTCCTGTGGAACTTTTCAGGAAACAAATACTTTCCCAAATACTGATTTCAAGATGGTGTGGGTTTTTTGTTTTTTTTTTTTTGTTTGTTTGTTTGTTTGTTTTTTGTTGTTGTTGTTGTTGTTGTTTTTAGCCAGATGGAACTCAGTGTTGTACGGTAAATCTTGGGTCTTGGTGCTTATGAAACATTTCATAGAATCATAGAATTGCACAGGTTGGGAAAGACCTTAAAGATCATCAAGTCTAACTGCAACCAAAGTGTACTGCCCTAGCAACTCTCCACTAAATCATTGTGTGGGAATCCAAATCTCTCATTCTGTGTGAAGGAAAGTCTTTTGTCCTCTTATTATTCTCTGGATTCTGGCAGTGTTTAGGTTAGATAAATGAGGAGGAGGAGATATTTATGTAATTAAAAAACAGCAATAGCATTGTAAAATCCTATCTGAATGATTGCTGTTTCAAATGTGCGTACTCCTAATATAAGTAATAAGTAATACCTGCACTGCTCTGTAAGTAGTTGAACTGTTCCCTTATTATATATGACCAGTAATAAGAAATGTTTTACACATTCAAGTGAAATCTCTCGGACTTTTTACTTGACCCCTATTCCTGTTAACAGTTTTGCTCCCTATTTTAGTTATCTGAAGTGACCGAAATGAAGATCTTAACTCAAAACACAGTGCCTCTTCAACCCAAACAGGAATTGGATGCAAAAAAAGGTAACAACGCATTGTAAGCAGATGTTTGTCAGATTTGTGTTTTCTGGGTAGAAGGCAAATGAATTTTGAAGGGATGTGGGCTACATATTGGTTGTTTTTCTTTTATGATTAGTTGAGAGTTTTGTTTCCTTTCTATAGCACAGTTTAAGAGCAGTGTGAAACATTATTGTTTTTCCCATAACATTCCATGTAAGTGTAAATGTTTGCCACAAGTGAGCTGGAAAACCTCCTGTGGTAGAGTAATGAGACTTAAGTTTGATTTGCCTTGTAGAAACATGCTACTTCTGTGTGAGTTTCAAAGAGGCTGTCTTCCAGGGTTCCGAGACAAACTACTGGTATTTCCTTGTTGAACAAATTACAGGGAGTCTGTAGCATAAAATTGGGCTCACTTTTTGCATTCTTTTGTATTGAAAAAAAAAACAAACAAAACCCAAACCCTTAATAGTCTGGAACAGTCTACTGTATTTACTTAGTCAGTGTGACAGAAATAAAATGAGGTGCTATGTAATTTACTACCAACATACAAGATCAGGCTTAAGTTAGTATTGCTTTTAATACTGCCTTTTATATAAAAGCAGATTTTTTTGTCTAAAATCATTGAATTACCAAGATGGGGGAAAAGACTTCCAAAATCATGTAGTCCAGCCATCCGCCTGCCACCAGTATTTCCCCATGTCCCTTACTACATTTATGTCCCTCTTTAACAAGAAGACACATCAGTTCTCTGCATTCTCAACTTGTGAGCATTAAACATCAATTTTGAGCTTAATTATGTGTATTTACAGAAAGGATCAAATACAGCAGAGATTTCCTCTTGGAGCTTTCAAGCGTTTCGCTCTCTCAAAAGAAGCCAGAGTTTCTGCCTGATCATCCAATTGTACTTGAAAAACCAGTAAGTGTATTCTTTATTTCAGGGGAAGCTTTAAAAAAACAAGCATAGAGGTTTATAATAGCCATTTGCTAAGAAACATTTGTCTTCAGACTAGCCTGCTATGTCAATGAAAGCTTTCCAAATGTAGAGTCTACATGAAATCATAGTGCAGTGTAATTTAGGATTTTTATCTTAATTCCTGCTTTGCCTTTTCAAAATCAAAGAGAATAGTCTTGAAGGTTTGGACAAGTTCTGATTTCAGAGTTTGTGCATCAGCGTCCACTATAAAAATTGTATTAATGAACTTACTGTAGTTTGTGTTATCGTTATTTCTCATCCATGCATCTGCAGAATGCATATTCTGTACTTTTTGATAGAAATATATGATGAATATGAAAGATATCCAATGGAGCCACTGTAACCTTGGAGAAGAAATAATCCTCAAATACCTGGTACACCAAGAATAAACAACAATGGTTTGCATTCTGCCCATGTGTGGGGAAACATTCATGTTATGAAACCAGCCTGCATCTTACCACTATTGGTGTCATTGGGGTGCAGTTCTTCAGAGCTCTTACCAGAAGAGTGGTTGAGATAATGTTCATCTGGACACATCTCAAGGCTGTTCTAAACTTTTTAAAGCTCTATTCTTTGGAAAAACAAAGTTATGTAGACAGCATCCCATCTTCTTGATTTGATGTTTTACATCTTCCTGTGATGTTTATCTTCAAGTTTAAAGTAAGGCTTTGAGGTTTTAGTTGTTTGAAAGCCAGCTTTCAGATTAAAAAGTTTCAGCTCTTGAATTTCAATATTTTTTTTTTCCCCCTTCTTTTTCAGTCCTTTGAGTTTCTAAGTGAAGTTGTATAAGCCAGAGTGCAAATTTTTTTTTTTTTTTTAAGTGTTAATGCCTGGTTCTAAAAAAAAGAAAGTTAAAAATGCAACTGGAAAAATAGCCTTTTTCTGCACTGTCATAGCTGGATTAAGATAGATTTACCTATATCCTTTCAATAGTCCCTTGTGGATTTTTGATCTTGAGAAATTAATTTTTAGTATGACAGTTGGTTTCTTTTAAATAGCAGTCCTGGACAGCATCTTGTTTCTGGGGCAAGTTATTAGGGGGTGACAAGGAAAGAGGTTTTATATGTTTGCATGAATACTTAAGTAGAAAACTCAGAGATCTTTAGAAGACAAACTAAAGAATAAAGTACCGAAAAAGGTTTTTGTCCTAGTTCTTCTGTCAGTTTTATTGTGGTGTGTTGAGGCATAAAATTCACAAACTACCTTATTTGTATTAAGGGCAATGAAAATTTGGCTATTAAAGATATTTAAATGCCAAAAAATCTCTCGCTTGAAAACATACAATATCAATTTTGATAACGCATGCTCTTACATAGTTATGTTCATGGATAAAGGAGGACCCGTGCAGAAATTGGAGGGGAAGACTGAGCGAGAAAATTGTTTATGGCATAGCTAGATTGCAAGGAATCAGCTTAGGGAGAAAATACAGTAGAAGCTGGTGTAAGCCAGGGTGGGGTGCATAAGATTGTTTTGGGGTGGGTGAGTGTATGTGCAGGAAGGTGGCATAAGTGCATTGTTAGATTGTTTTAGACATAAGATTATGTTACTGTTGATAGTGTCTGCTTTCAAAATCTTTGTTTTCTGTTGGTAGAAAAGGTTTATAAGCAGACCTACGGAAACTTAGTTTTCTTGTCACTGAAGTAACTTGAGGGTTTGTCTTGCAGGAAAACAGCAACCCTTTTGTTGACATATACAAGAAGTGACAGGTAGCTTGGAAGATGAGAAATCCATCAGTGAAGGAGCTACATGTAATGTAGACCTTCAAGATTTTTAAAGGTACTTGGGTGCCTACACGTGAATACAGGAGCTTACAAAGTCTGTACAAATACCTATTTCTATCTGTAATTTCTGGAATGCTTCAGAAGGCAAAATACTTCGTAGCACCTGAGATGGTAGTTCAGTTGCAGTGAAAATAAATCATTTTACAGTTTGGTGTGACTTGTTGTTGTTTTCTTTGAATAGGCTGCATTACCTAGCATTACTGTTTGACTATAAACTTTAAAGCAGTACTTGACTGAGGCCTCGTTTGCTCCTTTCTTACCAGTAATAAAAGAATAACAAACACCATCAAATCTCAAATGTGTCAGGATATGTGCTCCTAAAGGTTTGTTTTTTTCTTCTCTTCTCTTGCAATCTTCCTGTTCACAAAATGTGAATCATTGCATTTCCCAAAGCTGCTTGTAAATAACGGTCCAGTTATTTCTTCACTTTTGTCCAGTTATTTATTCACTTTTCTAACTGGAAACAGTGGGCGACATTAAGAAACAATACAGCTTTTCACTACTTGTCTTACCTGGTAAAGTGTATGCCAGTACATAGTGGATGCTGTAATTTATTTTGGTTCAGCTAGAACAGTATTTAGAAGAGAAAGCATAAGTCTGAGTATTCATCTACAACAACTTTCAGTTGACAAGGATTAGTAATAGTTATTCTGTACGAATGTAATCATCTTCAAAACCTGAGTTCAGACCTCAAATAACATGCTGTGGGTGGTGAAGGCAAGTTTTTAGCCTTTCAGTGGCAAAAGGTAGCAGGAGCTAAATCAGATTATGTTGAATATTAATTAGTGCAGAAAAATGTCAAGTTTACTTTCACAGATATTGTTTTTTTTCCTGCAATTGTGCTAATAAACATATTATTTAAATTCCTTTTTATTTTTTTTTATTTTTAGCAGTGGTTGGTCAGTTAAAATTAGCTTGCAAGTATATTCTATTCGTATACTGTGTGCAAGTCTGGTGGTTTCACATCAGCAGGTACCTAAACTCTAATACACCCCTTTCTTGCTGTCCTTCCTCAAAAGAAGAAGAGGAGTAAATACTGTGAGATTGGGATGGGTGGAGATAAGGACAGGAGACATCACTCTCAAATTACTGCTGTGGGCAAAGCAAGCAGTGCAGGGAGATTAATTTAATTTATTACCTATTATTAACAGACTAGAGCAGTGAGAAACAAAAGCAGGCACACCTTCTCCCCTGTCCACTCTTTTTTTACCTTCATCTGAGCAGTGAAGGGGAATGGGAGCTGCAGTCAGTCCATAATGCTTTGTCTCTGCTGTTCCTTCGTTGTTGCTCTCTGCCCCTGCTCCAGTGTGGCATCCCTCTCACAGACTGTCTTTCCTCAATGAATCCTTCTTGGGTGGTTTCCCAAAGGCTGCAGCTCTCCAAGTACCACTCCAATATGGCTCTGTACCATGGGGCCCATCGTTAAGGAGCAGACTGTTCCAGCACGAAGACCCACTGGCAGCAGCTCTCTCAGACCTCCTGTTCTACCATGGCTCTGCTCCACAGGCTGCAGCTCTGGCTCTGGAGCCTGCTCTTGCAGGGGCTCTCTGTGGGCTGCATGTGGAAATCTGCTGTGTGTGGTACACCATGGGCAAGCTTCTCCTGGGCTTCAAGAAACTTCTGCTCAGCTCTAGAGCACCTCCTGCCCTCCTTCTGCCCTGATGACGATGGCTGCAGACCTACTTTTCTCACACTTCTCAATTCTCTTTCCCAGCTACTGTTGTGCAGCAGTTTTTCCCAAGCATTGCTCATGGCTCAGTTCTGGGCAGCAGAACTGATGGGCTCTGCTCATAGAAGCCAACTAAAATCTTGCCATGTAAACCTCATACAGTAACTAATGTTGAGGAGAAAAATCTTCTTTGAGTATGTTTCTTTTTCATCTGAGAGTCTTAGAGTTTGGTTGATCTTTTTCCCCATTATGTGTCAGAGGCAATTTCATTGTATAGCTCTCTTAAAACTCTTAAGCGATACACAAGTTTTTATGATTCATGCAAGTGTTTGTTTACTAGCAAACAAGCGGAGAATTTTTATTAGGAGGATGTGTGGCATCTACTAGAATGAGTTTCTCTGCTCCAGCACCTCTAAGCAGATAATTTCTTACAACTGGAAAAACATAATAAACCTGATTATACAGTGTCAGTTTTCAGTACCAGTTTAGCCTCTAGAAAAGAAAATATACATACACCAGATGGACGTTGTGACAAAGTAAAAACAGTCAACTAGATCTAAGGGAAAATGAGTGGTTTGTCTTTTACTTTGCTAAAGGCAGGAGAGATTTAAACTGTTCACTGATTTCTCATCTCAAGAGTGTAATGTGGATGTTAGGATGCCCTTTAAGTAGATAAGTAGCTGGATCACAGATTTCTGTGTTTATAATAGTATCTGTGCCATTAAAGGAGGATATGACCTGGTTTTCTTTTTTTCTTAAGTAGTAAAGATGCCTTGATCCCCAGCAAGTGCCTATATGTGACAGTTTTAAGAATGTCAGGTTTAGTCTTAGCCATAGCTTCTGGATTACAGAACCATACTGCAATGAAGATTGCTTGCTTTTTATACCTGGTAATATTTTAGCTGAGGTGAAATAAAAATGGAGAAACACTACAAGGAAGAGGATATTCTATTGAATGTGACTTTCAAGTTATTTTTTGGCAACTGTTTATAACCTGGAACTGCTCCATGAGTGAAGATAGTGATATTTTAGTTTGCAGAGCTTGTCAACCTGCCATTGGAGGGTGAGGTTACACTAGTCACTTCCTTCCATGGTGGGTGACGTGTACTGCTCAGATGCCAAAGGAACAGCAGGAAGTCTCATTAGGGAGGAAAGTATTTGTGCTTCCAGGTTTATGGTTATTTATGCTCTAGTAGTGGTTTCTCTAATGACTTCTCAGTGAACAACCAGTTTTAGGAGTTGCTCTGATTTTCTAAATGTTCAAGACAGAGCTCAAAGCAAATGAGCTGTGGAACATTAAACCTGTGGATCCAAAGCGGTTTGGCCCGCAGATACACGTTTTTTCTTGCGAGGGAGAAGAGAGGGCAGGGGCCGTAGGGGCTCTTAAGAGAAAATGGTGCTGCCTTGTCTTTTCTTGGGCAAAAAATTTCCTGAATGATAGTGTTAACATGAACAAATTATTCATTTATTCTCCTAAAGTAGACTTAGACATTTATGGAAATGTGTTTTCAACTTTATACCTGTTTCTTCGGTACAAGGAGAAAACAGCAGCATTAAGTAACAATTGTTTATTAATGCGAGACTAAAAGTATTCACAAATACACAGTCACACCAATCAAGATGCAGTTTTCTGTGACAGGACTAAATATACACAGTTAACAGTTGAGCTTAGTTTTGTCTTTTTTTCAGCTTTTACAATGCATTATTTCACTAAACTGATCACAAGAAGGCAATGAATGTGATTTTCCGTATTTTAGAACAGATTACATCCAAAGTATTGCAGTATCACGTGATAAACCTGTAACCCAGCACACCTGTGCACTGTTAAATCAATGTATATGTAGTGAAAAACATAACATAATTACTTGGAATCACAGCTTCTAGTTGTTATTGAGGACCCACCACGATGCTGAAAGAGAAAAGAGTTCATGTATTTACATACACAGTATTTCTATCACATAAACTTTCTAAATAGAATAGCTATAATGCATAAGTCACTGCTGGTGTAAAGAAATGGTCATTATATAAGCAGCTATACAACAGCTGCACACTTTCAAGGACAGAACCACTCCAGGGAGGGGACGGACACTTACAACACTACCTGATCATAAATGGTAGGAGGATGGCAATAACATGAAAATTTAGATCTCTTTTTGATAACATCTCTGTCTGAGGTGGATTAGCACAGAATTAAGCACCCAAATCCCAGAGAGCAAACCACATAAATTCTCACTGTGAGGGGCTGCCTGTTCTGCTGCATGTGACAGTGCTGTTGCTGAGCAGTGTCTCCTGGGTTCTTCTGCTGCCTTCAGTGACTTTCATTCCTAGTGACATTATTCAATCCTGATGCTGGTGTTTTGTTTTTATTTTTATGCAGGCTTAAGAGTGTTTTGCCTCACAGTGACTTGTAAAATGTCATTTTCATAAAAAGGAAACGGCAATCACTGAATTATACATAGAGCCAAAGTGAAACATATTTGTAGCTCTTTCCCCACAGCCCCTCCACACTGGCCTTTGGAAATTGAAATCTTGCAGAGAATAACAACAAGATTTATGGAGAGAGACAAGGAAGCAAGGAAGGACTGTGACTGTATCTTAGGTGCCAAGTGCCCTTATTGGAGAGGTGCTCAGGGACTGTGCATTTTGCACTGTACAGCTTGGGGATTAAATTCATTAACACATTTGTTCCAGTGGCTGTGTCCATAAACCTATCAATTTCTGGCATTTATTTGAAAACAAGTTATTCCTGAAGAAGTATATTGAGAAGATGGTTAAGAATCCTGCTTCACTGTGAACTATTGAAGTCTAGTAGGCTCTGACACATCACTGGATTAATAAACTTTAACAACAAAAAATGTCAGTATAACGGTTTATTTCATGGATTATAGTGCCATAAACATTCAGTAGTTTTCAACGTTTTGTTTTCTTCACTGAGAGCTACTTTAATGTCCTCAAATCCAGATTTTCACACAGAATCACAGAATCACAGAATTGTAGGGGTTGGAAGGGACCTCCAGAGATCATCGAGTCCAACCCCCCTGCCAAAGCAGGTTCCCTACACCAGGTCGCACAGGTAGGCATCCATTCCATCCAATCCATTTTGGATTTAGGCACAGTGTAGGCATTTCATGCATGTGAACTGAGTGATACCTGGCACTGTGATGCAATGTCCTGAAGTAACTTGGTCTGCTTGCAACAGGAGTGCAAGTTGTTAATAGTCACGGTTCCTATTAACTGATAGTAAATGAATAACAGTACTCAAACACCGTGTCTTCCCGAGTCATTCTTAGCTGTGCACCTGTAGTCATTTGAACTAATCCGCTGAGTAATGGCTCAGGTTGTATGTAATGTTTGCAGCAGATTCAGATGATGATTTAGAATCAGATCAGCTCTTACTTAATCCAGGTGTGCCAAAAGGTGTAGCTGCATCTGAACTAATCAGTTTGTAGAGTAAGGCCTGTCCTGTACTAGTTGAATGGATTGGTTTC